ATAAAACATTGTAAACCGTTTTTGCTTCAATGCAGTACTATCTTAATAATAAAAGTTATTAACAAACAAAAGTACAAACAAACACTCGCACATACATACATACATACATGCATGCATACATACATACATACATGCATACATACATACATACATACATACATACATACATACATACATACATACATACATACATACATACATACATACATACATACATACATGCATACATACATACGTACGTACATAGAAATAAAGCATTGTGGTCACGTGCCATGGCTCAGACGAGCAATTGTACGAAGCACCGGAATGTATTATAATAGCAGTTGGTGCTTATTATTATTTATTCTATTATTATTTTATTATTTTTATTATTATTGTTATTGTTATTATTATTGTTGTTTTATTTGTTGTTGTTGTTGTTAATACTTTAAAGGTTTTTGTTATATGCGTGAATTCAAAATTAGATTCAATAAGCAACAGTCGCAACAATAACAACATCATCAGTAGCATCATCATCGTCGACACCACCAACAACGACAACAACAACAACAACAACGACGACAACACCAAATCAAACACCATCACCAACAACAACATCGTCAAACGATTCAACAACATCGTCAAACGATTCAACAACTACAACAACAACAACAAACAACAGCTAATACTCATGACCGTGTAGCCCCCCGCCATTTCTCGGCGTAGCGCAAGAGGGAATAAAAAAATAAGTACCGAGATGGTACTGTGTACTACTTTCTTTTGAAAAATAAAGGGTCGAAACGGCACGTGTGACCGATTTTGATCCTGAATAATTGAAACCGTAATGAAAAATGACCACGACTAGCAAGTGAACGTAAGTTACGATGCACACATGTTGATTGAGATAAAATCTTCTTTCTTCTTTTCTTCTTCTGCTTCTTCTTCTTTTTCTTCTTCGTCTTCTTTTTTTTTCTGCCACTCTATCCCTCTCTATCTTTCAATCTCACACTCTCTCTTTCAATCTCACACTCCTTTTTTCTTTCTTTCTTTCTCTCGCCCCCCCCCCCCCTCTTTCTCTGTGATCGGAAGGTAGAATGATGATCTTATCGTCAATGATAACGATTCTGTTGCCGATGACGTAATGATGACGTCACTGATGATAGTGATGATGATGTGATGATTATGATGATAATATAGTTGATGATAACAAAATAAATAAATAAACCACAACGAAGTTGATGATGGATAGCAATGATAATAATTGTGAGATTTCTTCCTTGTTGCTTGTTGTTGAAGTTGTTGTTGTTGTTGGTGGTGATGATGATACTGATGAAGAATGACTCAGGATAAAAGAATTATAACTTGCTGACGAACATTTAATTACATTAATTATCTAATCAACTTTTAATCAAAAAAAAAATTCTGAACGTCATCAGATTCGTTAGGATTTTACGATTGTTAAAAACAGTTTTTAAAAAAGAATGTCTTTTTGCCTGTTTGTGTGGCTAATCTTTTTATTTTAGGTAATTAGTATTATTTTTGTTTTTATTATTATTGATGTTATTATTATTTTTACTCGGATTGGATGATAAATAATAAATATATGCAGCACAAAGTCAGGATTACCTTAATTCAGAGTCTGTGAAACCGACACCCACGAAATCGATAGAACCGGAACCGATATCAACCACCAAGAAATGGTGGCCGATACCGAAACCGACACCCACGAAATCTATAGAACCGGAACCGAAACCGACAACCACGAAATCGATAGAACCCATACCGACACCCACAAAATCCATAGAACCGGAACCGAAAAAAACGAAGACTAAAAAATGGTCGGGACCGACTTCCAGATCCAAATATCCAGATACCAGCCCAGGTAATAAAATTATAATAAACTAAAAGCAAAATTTTTGCCGTAATAATTGTTTTGTCTATAAGTCAAGTTATCATCGGCGTCATCATCATTAATTTCATCTCTATCATTATTTTTTTTATTTCCATCATAGTTACTTCAATAGCTATCGCCATCACAATCATCACCATCCCTCATTATCATCATCATCAACATCATTCCATGACAGATACAGGAAGTGGAAAGGACTTGACTACAGCAGCAGCAGCATCCTCATCTGATCGAATTCATCGTCGTCATCATCGTCGCGCTTTAAATATGATGATGACAACTGCTGGTGATGATGATGATGCCATTTTGATGATGATGATGAAGAAGAAGATGATGATGATAGGTTTATGATGGTGATGATGATAGGTTTATGATGATGATGATGATAGGTTTATGATGATGATGATAATGATACTGACGACTTGAATTCTTTCGTTTACAATTTGAAATGTTTTACATTTCTTTGCTTTGTTAATCGTTATTATTTTTATTCATTACACACACTATAATTATTTAATAATATTGTTTTATTGTTTATTTGATTTAGAAGGCGTAATTCATATTTCTGAAGTGTCATGTTCAACATTTAATTATTTATAAACTAATTACTATGAATATAATTAATAATCTGCTAATTTTGTAAACTTTAATTATATCATTTCATTTTTTCCCCATTGTTAACTGTTACAAAATGTTGCAAAAAATTGTCTAATTAAAGTTTTTTAGAGTTAATTGGTTCGATAATGTACGGTTTTGACAATTTGAATCTCTTGCCGTGGATTAGTGAATTACTCGATGAAAATAGTTTAAAACGAGAAAGTAGGTGAAAAAATGTGATGATTTAGTGTAAAATAAGTCCATTTAGAATTTAGAATTTCGCCCACGGTATTGATTTAATTGCGCTGTCGTGTTTCGCTTCTTTGTTTTCCGGTACCGCCATATTTCGGGTGTTCTTCGTTTGAATTTTCTCCTTTCTTGTTTGTTTAAATCCGTTAATCGGCAGCAATAAGTATCTTAAAAGATGTTTATTAAGTTTTGTTTCTTATTTCTTTGTGTCGGCTCGTTCGTTTCAAGTTTGATATTTTGTTTTTTCGTTTGTAAAATGTTAAAATGGGCTCAAGATTAAAAATGTCTACCGTTATTAATTATTGATTATTTTTAAATATGTCCAGCAATTTTTAAAGGTTTGTTTGACAAATATGTAAAATTTGTTTAGGCGATGATGGCCATTCTCATTCCGTGGACAGCACAATGAATTCAAATATTAAATAACTATCTTTAACTTGAAGACTAACTGATTCATTTATTTTTTCACATTGTCATTATTATTTATTGCAGATAAAAGTGCAGGATTGAATGTTACTGAACACCCATTGATTTCAAAATCTGTTGAAATTTCTACACCAAAAATTGAAATCCTGGTAGCTGAAGTAAAAAACAACATTTCTGACTCCAATCCTGCTACATTAGTAGGAAAATTAAATTCAGTTATGTCACAGGATAACTTGGAAACTTCACCTACTAATACTCCAACAACCATTATGACAACTATTCTATCATCTACAACTTTAGTACCAGCTTCTGCTACTACATTGACTCTAACCACACTATTATCTTCAAGTACAGAGTCACTTTTTTTTTCACCTTTCTTAACAGTTTTATCAACTTTAACAACATTTGATCCATTGATAGATAAAGAATTACCAGTTCCACATGATCATCAAAATGATCTCCATCATCATAGCAATAATCTTGGTCGTCATCATAATCCTGATTATCACCAACCAGAACTACAACCAGAGTTAAAGGATCAGACAGAGTTTAATCATTCTACTACTATCATTAAGCAAAAGGATGAAAGTTTGTATTTCTTTAATTTCTCAATGTAATTATTCTTTTTTTTGCAAATTTTTAATGTTGGATATTATTTTTTAGTGAAAACTTTTTGAAATTTGTTGGTGTCATAAGTAGAAGAATGTCAATGAATATATAATTTGCTATGCTGGAAAATTACAAAAACATGATTTTTGTTTATTATTTTCAGATGTTGCAACTGGTACTAATTCTGCTGCAAATGCTATAACAGAAACTACTGCAACTATTAACATTGAAGCAGAAACAACACCAATTGTTAACATTGGCTCATCATCAACAACATCAGCATCAGCAGCAGTCTCAAGTAATGTATCAATGGATCAATTTCATGCAGACAAATTAAAAATCCCCAACCCTTTTCCTGGGCAAATTAATGAGCAATCAATATATAACTCTAGTGAAATTAATGCTAGAACTTTTGAAGAGGAGTTTTCTGACACTTTCGATGACGAGGACAACAATCGCGATGTCAATTATGCTTACGTAAATTATAAAGAGCAAAAGGAAGAGGCCTCAATTGCTTATGTCATGCATCCTAGCTGCCCTCTGGTGCTCTTAGCAGCCGTTGTTGTGCGTGCTGGCCCTATTTAGTTGTGTTTTTGAGTTGATGGTTTTTAAGATATCATAAACATATATATATTCTAAGATTGTAGAGAGATTGTTAGTTAATTTAGATTACTGTTGTGGCACATTAGTTTTTTTGTGTTGAAAGAATTATTTGTTATGTATATTGTTAAATAAATTCAGATTTCAATATAGCCTACAGTGATTCTCTCTAGGCATGATTCGATATCGAATTTCAGTCTGGTCTGTGTTGAAAGTATTGACTATATATGCACAAGAAATAAAAATTCTGTGTCGTGTATTTTAATATTACCATATTCACCACGTATTTTGTTTGAAATGGAGTGTGTTTTACTGTATACGTAGAATGTTTTCAATGTGTTTTTTATATGCGTTCAGTTGGTTCAGTTAAAAATTTTGAGTTCAATAAGTTGAAGGGTTTCAAGTTTGTTTCGTCGCTGAACTGTTTAGTGATATTGGGGGCTAACGTTCGTCTAAGGTTGAGGGTTAGGATAGATAGCTTACGGTAGATAAAAAAGTCTTTATAATTACGTTCGGCTTTCTACACTTGACTGTTCTTTTTTCAAATTTAACACGAAATTTGAATTTGCTGTCATTGCACAAACTAATTTTTAATAATTTACTGTTTAAATATTTAGTAGGGCGGTCCGTCATGGATCGAGTGATCGGATTGATTGATATGGATTGTTTTTATGTTCAAGTTGAACAAAGAGCCGATCCGTCACTCGCTGGTTTACCGTGCGCCGTTGTTCAGTACAGAACTTACAAGGGTGGAGGGTATGACTAGACTAGTTCTAATTAATAATTATAAATAAGTAAATATTTAAATTAAATTTAATTAATTGAATCCTAACTTGTTTGGCCTGTACGTCCTAGGTTCTTATAAATTTTCAGGATCATAGCAGTGAACTATGAAGCCAGGCACCTGGGAGTTACCAGAGGAATGATGGGTGATGAGGCTAAGGCCAAGTGTCCAGTCATTCATCTTGTTCGTGTGCCTGAATCTAGAGGGAAAGCCAACCTGACTAAGTTAGTGGGAGTTTCAAAGATTTTCAAAAATTATCTCAAGTTAGTTTTTTTACTACTGATTGCTTTATTTTATTTTCATCACTGTTCTACTAATAATTTTAACAATCTCATTTTTAATCTATCTTGCCTTTGCAAAAGCGTATCAAATAAATCAAATACAGATTAGGTTGCTAATTTTGTCTTTAAGGTGCTATGATTTCCAAGTAAAAATTATTTGATTAAAAACCTACAAATTAATGATTTTAATAAATTTTGTAATTAACTTGCTTGTTTAATCTTAATGATATTCAACCAAACAGATACAGAGAGGCTGGGGCCGAGGTAATTGAGACATTGATGAGCATGAACCTAAAGTGCTGTATTGAGCGAGCCAGTATCGATGAGGCTTATATAGATCTAACGGCAGAGGTTGATAAAAGGTTAATAACGACTACAGGTGACCATTGATCTTCTGCCTAATACCATCATTGCTGAATATCATGGAGATGGGGAGGGTGGAGTTATAGAGGATAGCCTTGACCTTGCAGAATCAGAAAGTTGGTTTTTATCATTTTTGGTGATGGTGATGCAGAATATAGAAAAATGTAGATAATGAAAGTTGATTGTCTTGAAATAATAATTATTGTTTTTTTTTGTGGTATTAATAATCATTTCATAATTATTATTTTCAGAGCCACCCAGTCAAATTCTGACAAAATTATGGCTTGAGAATCGTAGAGACAAGTACAATGTAAAGCTAGCTATAGGTGCATGTATCATTGAGGAGATGAGAGCTGAGATATTCAAAGTTACCAGGTTCAAATGCTCAGCTGGAATCTCTCATAACAAAGTCAGATGACTGGATGGATTGACTGATTGAGGGATGATAATTGTGATGAAGGAATTGAATATTGGATGGATGAATGGAGAAATGAATTAATGGACAGATGAATTATTTAATAGGTGTTTGAATGAATGCACTAATAAGATTAAAGATGAATGGATGGTTGAATTATTAAACGAATGAATGGAAAAGTAAAAAATGAATTAGTAATTGAATAAATGAATTTACAAACGTTTTAACAAATTAATAATTAGCTAACTGGTTAGGTATATTGAATTAAAGTTAAAAAAATTAATATAAAAAAGGTGCTAGCTAAATTGGCTTGTGGTCTGAACAAGCCAAACAAACAAACATTGCTCTCAAATGAAGCTGTCCAGGCAGTTTTTGTTAAAACCAAATTACATAAAGTGTCAGTTTGTATGTTCGTTTTTGTATTTATGTTTGTATGCATGTTTGTTTGTTTGTTCATTTGTTTGTTCAATTGTTTGATTGTTTTTTGTTATTGTCGTAATTAACATAATTTTGAATCTATCTTTTCGCCATAATTTCCGTGTTTACAGTCGAAATCTTGGAGGGAAATTAGGTCAAAGTTTAAAAGATGACCTCGGGGTTGGGGTCATGTCAGATCTGTGTCAATTCTCTGAAAGTCTTCTCTCTTCTAAGTATGGCCACAAGAATGGGTTAGTTGAAATGGAGAGTTAGTTGATTGATTCGTTTTTTTTTGTTCTTAGTTTATCATAGTTTACCTTTTAACCAACCAATCAATCACAGTAATTGTCCAACCAACCAACCAACCAACCATCCAACCAACCAGCTCCTGGCTGTATAACATGTGTCGGGGTATCGAACACGAGCCAGTCCAGGCCAGGCAGTTGCCGCAAAGTATCGGCTGTAGTAAGAATTTCAATGGGAAAGAACAACTAGATACCAAGGATAAGGTTTTGATGATGATGTTGGCTGTGATGGTTTCGATGATGTTGGCTGAGTTGCTGCTGCTGATGAAGATGAGGAAGATGGTGATGGTTAGGGCAATGGTGCTGGCTGGGATGGTGGTGATGATGATGGGAGAATTAGCGATTATAATGATGATGGTGATGATGATGGTGATGATGCAGGTAATGCTCTGGCTGAAACAACTCACGGAAGAAGTAGTTGAGAGGCTGAAGAAGGACTTGGAAGCTGTTAGTCGTTGTCGTCGTTGTCGTTGTTGTTGTTGTTGTTGTTGGAAATGATGTCATCAGTGTGGTTGTACGACAAAAGATAAGCAAACAAAAAATACATTGAAGCGACAAACAACACACCAAAAAGACACTCCAAAACACCCCAACAACAACACCACCACCAACGACAACAATACGCAGAACAAAAGATTGGCCAAGACATTGACAGTATCTCTATCACACCAAGCCTACCCCGTGCCACAATCCTCGACTCGAAGCTGCCCACTACCACAGTATGACGTCCACCACATCGCTAATTGTGCCTATAACATGATCTGCAAATTCAATACTAATTACAATTGCAGTAATTATACTAGTACTAATAGTAGTAACTGCAATATCAGTGACAGTGTTGTTGCTTGGTTAGTCTCTTGTCACTTGAGGCGTTTTTGTGATTGTGAGTGAACTTGGCGACGATGACAATTATGATTAGTACTAGATTTTATAATGAGTGAATGAGTTTCGTTGTTGGTATTGCTGATGTGTGCGTATATATGATATTTGCTGGTATTTTGTTGTTGTTAATGTCGTTGATCAGCTGTTAACATTCAAAAGGCTACCCCCGATCGTAAACCTCGGTGTGACGGCCAGCAAATTTGTCGCCCTGTCTGACTCCAGCGGCCACCCGACGACCACAAACCTGAAGCGCTTCATTGACAGCTTCTCGCCAGCGGCTCAAAGAAGACTGAATGGTCGTATTGTTAGCTGTGATAATAATGGTAGTGATGATGGCGAGACTTTTCAAAAGCAGTTTGTTCGAATGGTCGATGACGACGATGCTGACGATCGTAACGAGGTAGACGACGGTGGTCGTGGTGGTGGGGGCGTTGAAAGTTGGGATGACGTTGCTGCTGCTAATTATAATAATGGTCATGACGTCATCGACCGGGAGAGTTTTTTTAGAAGTGAAGTAGATGGAACTAAGAGGAAGTGCTGTAATGATACTTCGATCTCGAGGAAGCACGACACTATGATTCCTGGTGTGTTCAGTAGAATGAGAGATCGTGCCAGAGAGAGAAGACAACAACAACAAATGAATGAATGCGACCAACGACAACAACAACAACAATCATTAACAGAAGATGAAAGTTTAATTAAGGCCAGGCAAGAGGAAGTTCAGCAGCATTTCGGTCAAGATGACAACTCGGTTAAAAGGAAACTTATCGAAAAATGGCTAGAAAGCAGTTTTGTAAGCAACTGTGACAGCAGCAATGTTAATTCACAAACTTCAGATTCCGCTTTTATTAAATTTTCTGATAGAAACAACACTAAAAACATAAATGATGATGATGTCAATGATAATTATAATGATACCGCCACCGCCACCACCAATGCAGATGACGATGATGATGAAAACGTCGTAAACATTCATAATGTCGTCGAAAGTCATCTGGCCTCTTATTCGAAAATAAGAGACGAACTAGAAGAAAAAAATTTGGCTGTTGTGGCTCCTTACAAAAACGAGAACAACATCAAAGACAACAACAGCCACAAAGACAACAACAGCCACAACGGCATCAAAGACTACAACAGCCAGAAAGACAACAACAGCAGCCAAGGTATCAAAGACACCAACAACAGTAGCAACAAAAGAAGAATTGTCGATCTCACTGTCAAAAAGTTACAACAAAAACCAAAGACTGCCTTGGATGAATTTCTCTTTCAAAGGCTAAACTCGCCAAAACAACAACAACAACAACAACAACAGCAACAGAATGACGTCAACATCAGCTCACAACATTATCAAAATGCTGACAACATAACATGTGACAAATGCGGTCACGTGATATCCGCCTGGGATTTCCCGGAGCATGAAGATTATCATTACGCCTGTCAGCTACAAAGACAACAGAATCAACAACAAAGACAAGAAAATCAGCAAAGAAATCAACAACAAAGACAACAAAATCAACCTGAAAAACAACAACAACCTCATCCAAAACCGCCACAAAACATCAACCCCATCGATAAGTATATAAAAGAATTTTGCAACAAAGATAAAAACATTGGCAATAATAATAATAATAATAATGATAATAATAGTAAGAATAATAACACTACCTTCACAACATCAACGCCATCATCATCGCTGTCATCATTCTTATCACCAGGTCGTAATAATAATAATAATAATAATAAAAGAAAGATGGTGGGGACAAATTTGGGAAGTAAGAAGAAGCCGATAGGCAGTGGCAGAATCCGTGAAGATAACCGAACGACGACACTACTCGATCTCTATGTTGAGAGGAAACCATGATTTTAATTCTACTTATAATTCTCTTATTTCTTTCCGTGTCTCTTCAATTTGCAATATCATTATTTGGTTTTTTCGGCCTTTTTAAAGATAGAAACAGTTTCTTTTCATTTTAAAACTCTCGTTTAATTGACTTTTTTATTTCTATGTTTTATTTTAAAAGGTATTAGTTTAATTCGATCAATTCATACGATTTTTCATTCACTTAATGCTTCTTTGTTTCATTTATTTATTTATTTATTTATTTGACCACTCATTCAATCATTCATTCGTTTATTTGGCCACTCATTCAATCATTTATTTGATCCGATATTTCGATTAACCTCACTAGTATGCAGCGTATAATACTGGGTATCTGTTGTTTTTATTGTAATTTCAGTAAATCCTTTCTCTCTCTCTATCTCTATCATCTTTCTCTCTCTCTCTCTCTCTCTCTCTCTCTCTCTCTCTCTCTCTCTCTCTCTCTCTCTCTCTATTTATCCATCCATCTATCCATCCATCCATCCATCCATCTATCTATCTATCTATCTATCTATCTATCTATCTATCTATCTATCTATCTCTGTCCTCTTAAACACGCACAATAATATATATGTGGTTTTAAACAATAATTTAATTATTATATTCCTGTGTTAATTCCTAAATTAATGAGGAAACAACTTCTGTGTTTTATTTCATTAAAACTACTTAATGATATACAAATTAAAAAGGTATATATATATATAATTTATATGTAAACATTACATATATATATATATAATAATGATAATTGCATATATATATATATATATATATATATACATATATAATATATATATATATGTGTGTGTATATACATATAAATTGTAATAATAATAAATAGTTATCCGCAGTTCATACACGTATTTACCCTTTCAACTCTGCTAAACAACTAAATAATAAGTATATATATATTTATGTATATATATATATAAATATATATTTCATAATTGTCATAAATGTACAAGTATATATATACATACATATATATATATATATATAACGATTAATTCTTATAACAACAGAAACTCAACATGAAATTTATGGTGAAAAATGATATATGAAGAACGATAAAAAAAATGTGTTATTACATTAACAAGGAGATGAAGAATGATTGTGTTAATGTCTTTGTTAATGATTTATGCTTTACCCTCGATTATAACTTTAATTAATTATAAACAAATGAGTGATAGACGTAGAAATGCCATCCTCTTTTCACCTCTCACTTCTCTCTTCTGCTCTCTCTCTCTCTCTCTTACGTTTTTACCCATGGTACTATGCGAAGTAATTACAAAACAATGAAATTTTTTTTACTCTCTCTTTCTCTCTCTATCATGTTTACCCACAGTATAAACTGAAACAGTTACAAAAAAAACAAATTAACATAATATATGTCTCTCTCTATCTCTCTCTCTTTCTCACAAAATTACACTAATTTAAAATTAAAACAAGCAGAAACATTTAAAGTACAAGCTGAAGTAATATAATAATAATAATAATAATGAAAACAACAATAAAAACGAACAAAAGCAAGAATAATAATAGCAATAAATCGTTCGAGAATTACCCTGAGAAAAAAAATACACGCTCATACATGTTGCTGAGAAAAATAATTTAAAAATAAATAAATTATTAATCATATTTATTAATATTACGTTTATTATTATTACTATTCTTAATGTAAATTCTATATTATTATTTTAATTATTATTGTATAGACATTAACAAATGTAAAGAACAAAAAGCTAGTATAACTAACACAAATATACATAAAACATTACTACACGCATTGAGGTAACGTGAGAAAAAAATACAGCCAAAAAAGAAAAAAATTATGCCAGAATTGTCATAATAAATAATAATAATTATTATCATTACTATCTTTATTTTATTTTTAATTTGTTTTTTGAGATATAGTAAGAAAAAACCTGAGAATTTGTTGAAGATGTTATGAATGGTAATGACGTAGAAGTACGCATTTATTGGGTATTTTAATAAATACCTCTGTTGTGTGTGTGTGTTTGTATGTGTGTGTGTTTGTATGTGTGTGTGTTTGTATGTTTGTTTGTACGCTTTTTTGTATGTCTCAAGTTTACCACTACAAATATAAAAATTTTCGTAAAACATTTCCTTAGTGCGTGCATAAATGTTAAAAAATAAATCTTAATCTTAAATATTAAAAAATAATTATATATATATATATATATATTTATATATATATATATATATATATATTTTAAATATAATAATTCCATTCTTTGTTATTACTATTTGTATATATATACAAAAATAATATTTCCATTCCAAACCAACTACTTCTCAAACTACCAACCGACAGCCAATCAAACAACATTATCAGAGATCACGCCGGCCAATAGCTGAACGATCTCGTTGAACTTCGGCCTATCCGAAGGCTCGAAACTTCGGCAGCGACCAATGAGAATCCAGACATCGTTAGGGCAGCCGGATGGATGGGTCAGTTCGACGTCTCCATTTTTTAGGGCCACAACAACTTCATCATTCGTTTTATCGCATATGGGAAAACTCGACAGGGTGAAAACCTCCCAAAGGAAAACCCCAAATGACCAAATCTCGCTCGCACACGTGTCTCGCTTGCCGTTGAACAACGCTTCTGGGGACATCCACCTGGTGAAATAAAATTATTTTTAGAGTTTTTATTTATTGCCATAAAAGTAAATTTTGAGATATCTTGGTATCTTTATAATATAATTTCATCATAACATTGTTATATTTTTGTCATATTATCATTAAAAATATTATAGCAGTAAATTATTTTATCATAAAAGTAACTAAGGCATATATATTTTATCATCGGAGTACCTAATCGGAAGGACATGATGCTGGTACGTGTAGTACTCATTAGCGTAGAGATCTCTAGATAGTGCTAAATCCGCAATCTTGATCGTGAACCTCGAAGTTAGGAGCACATTTCTGGTAGCTAAATCTTTGTGGTTTAGTTTCATATGTCCTGTTAGATACTCCATGGCTTTAGCTGTTTGTAGGCAGATACTTATTTTGTGTTCGTTCGTCAGTGCGCTGTTTAACATTGGGCCACTGGTGTTTAGACGCCTTGACTCCAAGTATTGTTTCAAAATTCCCTGTGTGTGTGTGCGTGTGTGTGTCTGTTTGTGTGTGTATGTGTGTGTGTGTGGTGTGATGTGTCTTTATGTGCGTGTTGTTTAGTTAACGAAATTTGTTTGGTTAGTTAGTTGTGATGTTGAATTAGAAATATATCGTACACTTCAAAGCCTTAGTTGATCGGTTACGGTTAAATGCTCAAATAGCAAGTGTTATTATATCAAACTGAATCGTCTTTGATAGAATTAGTTGGTAAATTATTGAAATGATTGTAAATAAGAACAATATTTCCAATAACTCAGCGCTAAAAACAACCTGAAACAAAAAATAAATCATAAAATGCACCGAAGCCTACCCAGTCGGTGTACTCAAACACTCCAAGCAGCGGATCATCGTCCTTACAGATGGCCAGCAAATTGGAAAAGAACGGCTGGTTAGTCCGACTGTACATCTCTAGACTTTCGTAGAAACTGTTCCTCATTCCTTCATCTTTCGTCCCCAGAACTTTGACGTAGACAATTGTTTCTGGGTTGTTCGGTGAGATGTTGTACGCCTTTGCTAGGATCACATCGCCAAATTCACCTTTGCCTATGGATATAAATTAGTTTTCTTGAGTTTTTAATAATTTAAATAAAATTTAAATTCTGAATTTTAAATGAGATAAGGGCGGCATAGAAGATATTGTCGGTTCGTTTTTTAATGTTTGATGCTTTTTTAACTCTGAATGTATATTTAACATTTTTTCATCAAACTATTATTAATTATAAATAACGTTTATTGTTGAAATTGTGCTAAGATAAAGTTTGCTAAAAACCAACAGTAAAAAACAGTTTAAATATTTTAAAAGTTCATAGTCCATCTAACCCAGTAGCCCAATATTATGAAGGAGAGATCTAGAGAAGGAGAAGCGGTCGAGGGATTTGTGAGATAGTGATGAATTGAGAGTGTTGGATTGTTGGGAACTGATTCCGGATGCATGTGATCTCGTCTCGCTGCTATCACCCGCGCTGTTTCCCTTCGTCACTGAAGCCGCCACACTGCCGGGGCCACTGTTGGTGGCTGGGACTGCTAAGGATTTGTCCTTGTTCATTAGTCCCATTTGTTCCGGATTATTGGTTTGGTGACCGTTCTCAGCTTTTACCGGGTCTGAAAAATGTAGGGCGGATGTTTAAGATGGTGGTAGCAATGACAACATAGATGAAAATGTAAATATTGATGACGAGATAACCTTTTAATACAAATGGCAACTACTCTTCGCGTTGTTTTAAAAATCAAATAAAAATTTTCATGAAATAAATTCAACCCGTCAAAAAATATTTAAAAAATTAAACTCACCTCCATTAGAGGCACTCCCATTCCTGCTTGACGTCCTCTTCATCCTCTTGCACAACAGCAGCACAAACGCCAACAGCAGCACAAACGCCAGCAACACCACCACAACCACAATGGCCACCATTTTGCTAGGTCCGTCGCCATCTTCCGGATCAACCGGAGTTTTGAAATCATCTGATTTTATCGAAATGAATTTATAAATTTTGTTAAAGTAGTAGTAGTTGTTGTAGTAGTAGTAGTTAGTAGTAGTAGTTAGTAGTAGTAGTTAGTAGTAGTAGAAGTAGTAGTAGTAGTAGTAGTAGTAGTAGTAGTAGTAGTAGTAGTAGTAGTAGAAATAGCAACATCCACAACAGCAGTAACAAAATTTTTTAAACTTATCATACACAAATAATATTTCCTTAATTCACAAAACCTTCTCCGGAGGCGAGAACCCTGAGGTAGGCCTGCTTCTCACTGGACCCCCCAACACTAGATGCCACGCACGTGTAGTAGGAGCTGTCCTCAACGAATGCCGTGGAGATGTGCATCGTCCCATTTGTGAAGATCTGAAAGTTCGGGAAGTCAAGAAACATTTGATCTATTTGTGGTAACGTGACTTTATTTTGGGATTAATTTGGTGTATTTTTAACTTTAATTCATTTTAAAATTATTACAATTGGTTTAAAATATAAAAGAATAACCGACCGAAAATCTATTTTTATCCAAGTCGGTGACCTGATTATTTTTCAGCCAATGAACTTGCGGAGTTGGATTCCCGTAAACGACGCAGTGCAACATGACTGGCTCGTGCTCCCTTACCGTTGTGTTGGTGGGGTAGATTTTAATCACCGGCTTCTCTGATTGGTTGGATACAAATTTTGGAGATATTATTCTACAAAATTATAGTCTTTATTAATTAATTAAATAAAAACGAAATGAAACCAAAAAACTCAAACTCACCCACAACATGCACGCTAACGGTGACATTAATTGACCCTTGTTCGTTGCTAGCGTAACACGTGTAGCGTCCCGCGTCCCCAGGCACAACCCTACTAAACACTAATTTGCCCTCCGAACTAATCACATTTCGCTGAAGCGGTTCGCGCCCTTCTCTAAACCAAATGATCTTCGGTTTGACTTTACCCACTACGTCACATTTGACCTCTGACCTCTGGTCCAGCTCCACGTAAACGTCGGCCGGCATTGGCGGGTCGAATTTTAGTTGCCCTGAAATTTGATTGGTGGGGCGTGGGGGTTAAATAAGTAATTGTTGAATGTTGAAGAAGTTGTGAAAAAATTCTGTGTAATTTATTAGTGAGTTAATTCTTTTGTTTAGCATAGTAGAAAATTAACATCCGAAACAGCGTTTGAACGATAAGCATCTTAGTTTCCAATCAGAGAGATTTCTACAGCAACACAGACTACAATTTAAACAAAAGATCGGCTTACGTTCCACGTAAAGTCTTGCCCAGTTGGACTTGATTACCGAACTGCCGGTTGTGTTGACGACACACGCGTAATTGCCGATATCGTCGATCGTTACATCCCTGATTTGCAATGTCCCATCCTCCTCATTTACCGAGTATTTGTCATTCGACTGAGTGAAATTCGGTTAAAATGATGATGACGACGACGAAAATGATTATGATAATAACGTAACATCATCATCAGCAGCCCTTACGTGCAAGACAATTTCTTCGAACTTCCATCCAATCTTCGTGATGGGGTAGGAACTGGCGATGACCTTGCACTTGAACTCTCCCTCGCCACCTTCACTGACGTGTATGGTCTGCGGGGGCGTCCCTATTCTTGGGGGCACTGTAATTGAAATAAAAAAAATATATTTCCCTTTATATTATTTTATAATTTATTGTTTAATATAAAAGATTCTAGTTTGTAAATATTACTTTAAACATCATCATCTTTATCGAAAACATCATCATCACAATCAACACTAGCATAATCATAATCATGACCGCTAACCGGAAACAGCTAACTCGACAGAAATCAATTTTTTTCCCGCCATATTTTCAGCCTGACATACGTAACTCCCAGCGTCCGAGGTAGACATGTCAGTCAATCTGATTATGCCGTGTTCTTGCCAGCTGTGGGTCGTCTTTTCAGCCCTCTCTACCCCGTTGGGGTCGAACCATCTGTGTGTGTGTGTGTGTGTGTGTGTGTGTGTGTGTGTGTGTGTGTGTGTGTGTAGGTTTAACAGGGTGTATGTGCGTGTACGTGTTTGTGTGTGCACAACAAATGCACTAACTTTACAGTGGGCGTTGGTCGGCCCTTCGGAGGTTTGCACCTGGCAAAATAGAGACCCTTTTCCGGCACCACGTGGGTGAATTAGGCTTGGGGGTGATATTTTCAGGACCGAAATCGTCAATGACTGAAAAGTTATGATATAGAATGATAGATAATTAGATAGATAGATGAATGAATGAATGAATGATTGAATGAATGAATGATTGAATGAATGAAACAATAAATGAACTTTCACAAAACTTAACTTAAACGTACGACCAACCACCAAACAAACAACCAAAAACTTCAACGCCTAATAGAACTATCAAATAAAACAAACACAAAATAAAAATTTGTCACAAAAACGCACAGGAAATGGAAAGATTGACCGTGAATGTCAGGGTGAGGTCAAAGTTGAAGGTCGCCAAGCACTTGTAGGTTCCAGCGTCTTCGTCGCCAACTCCATTTATAAACAGAGTCCCGTTTCGATGAACTCGTTTCCTGGTCAGGGATAATTAAAAAAATAATTATGTGAATAATTAAATATTTTGTATGAATATAATTTATAAATATATATATATATATCATTATCACAATCATCGTCATCATCATCATCACAATCGTCATCATCATCATCACTATCAGAAGGTTGGAGGCCATCATTGAAAATTCTCCCACGAACGATTCTGATCTATCGGCTACACTAACAACACACACACACGCGCGCGCACACACACACACACGCACGAACACACACATACGTACAAGCAATTAACATACGGGACGTATATAACATTTGTGCCAGCATTAAGCGTCTACACAGCCTAGCTTAAAAGCTTTTTGTTCTCATGTAATTATTAATTTAATGAATGTCTGGCCATCCGTCATTCTTCTTTTATTCTTTTATCTGTTTTTTTTGTTACTTCATTCATTCATTCATTCATTCATTCTTTCATTCCATTCATTCATTCAGGTAGTCATATTTTATAAATTGCCATTGTTTTGTTCCTTTAAACTTTAGTAAACATCATCATCATCAAACATTATTATCATCATCATCATCATCATAACCTTTATCATTACAGCCATCAACATCATCATTACTACCACAACCACCACCACCATCATCATCCTCACACTTAGCAACAAAGGAACATTCGAGATGGGAACACACGGAAAAAAACGATGATCCTAATTTGAAGCAGTCTAGAATTACAAAGTAACAAGACTGAATACGACCGATGATGACGATGATGGTGGTGGTGATGATGATTTGGATGATGATGATGATGATGATGATAACGGAAATTACGAAAAAAAAACAAAATGGCCGCCAATATGGTCGCTAAACATGGCGCCGGAACGCACTTAACAGTATGAGGAACTTCTTAAACAGAAATTCCAAAATTTCCATGAGACGATTTGCAAACAAGAGGCCAAACATTTGTCAATCGTTGCCTATGTTAATTTGTTGAAATTAAGAGCTATACAAATAATTTGGGGACCGTGGTGCGGTAGTCAGCTTCAGATGAATGATCTGGAGAAAAAGAAATTAATAGTTGGATGAACGAGTGAATTAATTATTTAATGGATTGGTCAGGAGAAAAATTTAATATTTGGATGAATGAGTGAATTAATTATTTAATGGATATTTGGATGAATAAATGAATGGACGAACGAACCAACGAACAAATTAATGAATGAACTGATAGATAGATGGATAAAAGAAAGAATGAATGAAATGATAGATGGACGGATGCTTGGATATTATTTACTAGCCACTTAATTTATCTCCATTACAATATGCCATCGGCCAAATAAACTACATAGCATGAATCTTTTACATTCTTTCATTTTTCCATCTCTCTTTCTTTCTCTCTCTCTGTCTCTTTATCTCCTTCTATTTCTCTTCCTCTCCCTCTCTCTCCTCTCTCTCCCTCTCTCTACCGACATCATTTTCTTCATTTTATTTATGACAGTTTCGATCCATGCACACGTTTGCATTGAGATAACGTTTTTATTTATTCATATATCCTATCATTACATTCATACATTAATACATTCATTCATTCATTCATTCATTCATTCATTCATTCATTCATTCACTCATTCACTCATTCATTCATTACATTTCTTCATTCAGTAATAACAATAGAATGAAAAAAATGTATACAAATAGCCTCAACTGTCACAACAACAACAATCATAACAGTAAAGGTTATCTGAGCGATAATAGCCGAAAATGTAATGCATTGTAATGTAGAGGAGAGAGGAAAAATTTCATTTTTATTTTGTTTTCTTTGTTTTTCTTATTACTTTTTGTTATTTTTTTTATATTTTTTGTTTGCGGTTCACACAGACACACACGCACGCACACACACGCACACACATTCAAACAAGCACACCAACCTAACAGAGTTTTGTACTTTCACTTTTTCATGAAACCATTCCAAACTGAGGAACTTGCGCTCTCCAACGGCTCCGCCCACATTTACAATGGTGCCTTCGTGCTGAAACTGACAGTTCAGTTGTGCCTGATCTCCCTGGTTCAAAAGCAAGGAAGGCCTGAAAGTTTCCATCGCTAATCGCCATGGGTGATCACCTGGTTGGTGATGTTGTTGTTGTTGGTGATGTTGTTGTTGATGTTGTTGTTGATGTTGTTGTTGATGCTGTTGTTGATGTTGATGTTGTTGTTGATGTTGTTGTAGATGTTGTTGTTGTTGTTGATGTTGTTGTTGATGTTGTTGTTGATGTTGTTGTTGATGTTGTTGTTGATGTTGTTGTTGATGTTGGTGGTGCTGTTGATTGTGTGATTGTTGGAAATGACGATGATGTTTATGACGAGGGTAATGGTGGTGGTTGCTGTGATATTAAAAAAAAATGTTATAAACCGTGATGATGATGAGTTAGAAGGGAGTGACAAATGATTTTGTGAGAAGCAATCAAAATACCAAAAAAAACATGTAAGCACTTGACCAGAAAGCAAAGAACAAATTCTATGGAATTTCAGAATTTCTATGGAAAACCATTTAAATAGTTTTTTTTCAAACTGGGGCAAAACATAGAAAGAGCAATTTGTAAATAGATACAAGCCAGCAGCGGCGAGTAAACGTTTTTCAACCGAAGCAATTAAGCGCCACATAAATTTCATATCAACACCCAATAAAGCATATAACAACAACAATAACAACAACCACAGCAATAATAACAACAGTAATAATAACAACAACAACTACCACATCATAAACAACAAACCAAAGAATTGCAATAAAAAGTACAAGGCAATAAAACAGACCTAAAACATTAATGCGCTAAAAAAATGGATTATATACATTATTTTTGTATCAAAAACAACAACAACAACAATAATAATAATAATATCAATAAAATATCTCGTAAAATATCTACCTACAAAGATTAACCATCAAATCAGAACGCCCACACACAAACATACATACATACAAACATTCCTACAAACAAACATACATACAAACATACAAACAAACAAACAAACAAACAAACAGACATACATACATACAAACATACATATATACATAGAGTGTACCATAAAGACAATCACCAAACCAATCATAAACATCTCATAACCGACCGACAAACAACACAACCATATCGAGTTTTATACCAGAAACCGATCATAAAAATTTTATATAGACGGTTCTCATATTCCTACAGCATTGGGATTGACCGAATATCAAAAAATCGTATAAAAAAAACCGACTTACCAACTGGAGATAGAAAAAAAGCATACCGGCCATAAAGCAAATGCATCTTAATAACACACGGTAACCGTGTCTAACCGTGAATTCTACCATCACAAAGTACCGACATACCGAAAGTTTGAAACATCGTAACATCCTTAATTTACACACGCACATCAGAAGATAAATCAATATCTTTTGTTTATTGCCAGGGAGATGAGAAACGTTATTATCAACCGTGTACATGAAAAAAAATTCATATCGGTATATGTATATATGTATGTATGTATGTATGTATGTATGCATATATGTATGTATGTATGTATGTATGTATGTATGTATGTATATTCATACAAACATACATACATGAATGTATACATGCATACAAACATACATACATACATACGAAACGAAATTTTATTTGCTTCTCAAAATTGAAAATTGAAATACATACATACATACATACATACATACATACATACAAACAAATAAACACACATACATAATAGCACAGTCTGCTTCCAGCCCAGGCGCATTCATTGACCAAGCGCACATTCATTGTTCGTCTGTTCATCAATCTTTCGATACAATAGCGGTGTGTATGTATGTTTGTATGTATGTATGTTTGTATGTGTGTGTTGTATCTATTTACTTGATAAGGTAACTACCTACAAATATACAAAACTTGCCTGCGGCTGTTTATCGTACCTATGATTGTGCCTTATGTGTGTGTGTGTGTTTGTTTGTGTATGTGTTTGTTTGTATGTATGTGTGTGTGTTTTTTGATTGTTTGTATGTATGACTTATGTGTTTGTGAAGTTTTGTATCAGGATGGAATCAATTGTAAATGATAGCTGTGAGCATTTGTTTTTTAATGGTGAAAATTAGTGGAGTATTCATCCATTTATTCTATTTTTTAATTCATGCAATCCTTCATTCCTTCATTTATTCCTTCATTCATTCATTCACCCATTCATTCATACATTCCTTCGTTCATTCTTTCAAGTGGAATAAAGAATTGAAAGGAAGTGGTCTTTTCTTTCATCATTTGTTTGTTTATTTATTTAGAAATGTATGTATGTATGTATGTATGTATGTATGTATGTATGTATGTATGTATGTATGCATGCATGTACGCATGCGTGTATATATTCAAGAGCTTCATTCATTCATGGCTGATAATGTCAAGGACAGCTTGTTTGGAATCTAATGGCAGGATATGAAATTTCTCTCTCTCTCTCTCTCTCTCTCTCTCTCTTTTTCTAGTTATTTACATTTTTCTCGAAATAATCGAGATCGATTGAGAGATGATTAACCAGAGAAAAAGAGGACAAAATGGCCTTGTGACCTTTTAGACGCGACCTTCACATTGACCTGTGAACCCTGGTTGGCAGGTCGTATAGAATTTTTTTCTCCCAATATTCTATATCAATTATTGTATTTTTAACAACAAAATAACAATAATAACATATAATAATCAGTAGCAATGATAATAATAACAAGGGTAGCATCCATCAATTTACTATCCATTGCCGCGTGGCTTACCGTAATTATATTACATGCGCTTCAGCTTATATCGTGAAACCAGAGTGAATTTGTAATTGTTTATATGTGTGTATGTATGTATGTTTGTGTGTTTGTATGCATGTGTGTGTGTGTGTGTGTATGTATCTAAGTATGTATGTACGTATGTATGTGTGTATGTATGTATGTTAAAACCAAATCGTGATGAATGACACCAAACAGTCAAACATCTGATTAAAAGGGTTAACAATGTATGTATGTATGTATCTATGTATGTATCTATGTATGTATGTATGTGTGTTGTGTACGTATATAGTGAATCTATGTATGAATGTATGTATCTATGTCTGTATATATGTAAAAATACACACACACACACACATACACACAAACAAACACATACATATGCGCATAT